CATGTGGAAAAACCGCTCTGGCGGCAACGCAAATACGACGAGTCTTCTCTCTCGTAAGCGAAGATTTCCGATATCCGGCAACGGACGCTCCCCCGATTTTCTCCGCGCGGTCGCGCCTTTTTACCGAAATTTTTGGGATTCTTTTTCGCTTTTTTGCCTTTTTAAATTCGACGACGATCCGAAATCGGAAAATTCCGAAAATCGGTAATATTTAGGTCGTAAAATCGTGGATATCGGACTGAGGGAGGTCTCTCTCTCTCTCTCTTCTTGTGTGTGGTTTCACTTGAAGCATCGCCAGGGAGGGGGCGGGGCGAGGAGGAAGGGGGAGGGGGAGGAGGGAAGGGGGGGGGGGAGGTCGTCTCCTCTCTCTCCGCTAGCAGTGTCATAGGACGACAAAGCTCTCTCTCTCTTCTTGTGTGTGTCTTCACTTAAAGCATCTGCGCGGAGTGGGGAAGGGTGAGGGGGAGATTGCAAAGAGAGAGAGGTGAGGGGAGCAGAAAGGGGAGGCCGGAGGCGAAAGGAAGATAATTGAGGGGGATGCGGTGAAGGATAGTGGCGAGCGCGGGAGGTGGGAGGAGGCGATAGGGATGAGGGGGGAACGGGAAAGTAGGAAAAGGGCGAGAGGTAGCGGGAAGGTGGGAGTTGGGCAAACGAGGGTGAGAACAGGTCTGGGGAGGTGAGAGGAGGGGAGGGGAGAAGAAATGGCAAGGGGAAGGGGGAGACTGAGGAAAAGGGGAGGGGGTGGCAAGAGGAAGGGTGGGTGGGGAACTCGTGCGTAATATAGAAGTTGCCATTAATTTTCCTCCGTTTGCATATGATTAAAATCATGTTATATTTTTAAAAAAGGTTGTCTTCCTCGCTTCTCGTTAATGCCTCATGTGTCTGTTTACGTGCGTACGTGTGTGTGCGTGCGCGCGTGCGTGCGTGCGTCCGAGCATGTGTGTATGTGTACGTGTGTGTGTGCGTGCGTGCGTGCGTGCGTGGGTGGGTGTGTGCGTCCCTGCGTATGTGCATGCTTGCGCGTGCGTGCGTGAGTGCTTTTCTGCGTGCGTACGTACGTGCGTGCGTGAGTGTTTTCCTGCATCTGTCCGTGCGTGCGTGAGTGCTTTTCTTCGTGCGTACGTACGTGCGTGCGTGAGTGTTTTCCTGCATCTGTCCGTGCGTGCGTGAGTTCATGCGTGCGTGCGTACGTGTGTACGTTCGTACGTGCGAAACACCGCCCGCCACAAACTACGAGACAACAGACCCGCGGAGAGACGGATTTCCGATTAAAAAATATCTTTATTACGTCGCGATGATCGTCACGATGATACAAACGCCTGATCGCCACCGCCACACATCGTCAACAAACAAAATATGTGATGTCACACACAACTTTCATCATAATTATCGCTATATATATATAATTATCGTTACACGCGCTCGATAACGATAATAATTACTCTTTATTAATTAATAATTATAATATAATTAATAATTATAATTTTATTATTAATTAATAACGATAATAATAATAACGATAATAATTACTCGATATAAAATTACGATGAAAATCGAAAATTAAAAAATCGCTCGGAAGCTGCGATGTGATAACAATGTATAAGATACGGATAAGTAAGACAATCGCTATTGTTTTCACAATTGTTTTGACTTTGTCGCAAAATTTTGATTATTTGTTCGCCGCCTGACAAAATTGACCAATCGCTGACGTCGCAAGGCACTGGAGTGTGTAAAAAAAATACAAGGGGAAGAATTGTGTGCAAGAGGCAGGATTGTGAATCTCTCTCTCTTTCTCTTTCTCCCTCTCTGTCTGTCTGTCTCCCTCTCTGTCTGTCTGTGTCTCTCTCTCTCTCTCCCCCTCTTTCTCTCTCTGTCTCTCTCTCTGTCTGTCTCTTTCTCCCTCTCTGTCTGTCTGCCTCCCTCTCTGTTTGTCTGTGTCTCTCTCTCTCTTCTTTCTGCTCTCTTCTCTCTCCTCTCTCTCTGGGCTCTCTCTCTCTCTCTTCAAACACTTGCTAGTGACACTCTACCTCTACAGAAAGTGGACACCATCTGCAAAGGCCACCTGTCTACAATGGGCCACCTGCTCTACAAAGCGCCGCGTTCAGCACTTCCCTTTGGGCCGCCCAGCACAATACCGTGAAACCCACCTTTGTCTTATAGAACGGGTCAATCCTCTCTGTATAACAGGACACTGTTGCATTTTTGCCAACTATTTCACTGGCCGTGACGAACATAGAAATAAATTCATAATAAATAATAGTTATATCGTAATATATTATTATTTAAAAAAAAAAACTATTTTTACTCGCCGCACTACAAGCTTTTCACCTCCCCCCCAGTTGGCAGACACTATCAGTATCTGGCTTCTCTCTATCATAAGGGGCCGTACCTACCTTTATGTTATTTACTTTTATTCCTGGCTTCGTTAGGAGTATGGATTCTTGTTGGAGAGGAAGCCCGTAGTGGGGGCATGGTAGTGGTAGCAAGAGAGGATGTGGCGGGAAAGGAAGGGGACGTGAAAGGAACGGTGACCATGAGAGAGAAAGGACAGAAAGACAGAAAGACAGAAAGGTGACAATGAGAGATAAATGTGACACAGAGAAAGGTGACAGTGAGAGAGAGAAATGTGACACAGAGAGAAAGGTGACGGTGAGAGAGAGAAATGTGACACAGAGAGAAAGGTGACAGTGAGAGAGAGAAATGTGACACAGAGAAGGGGTGACAGAAAGAAGGAAGAAAGAGAGACGTGGAAGGAGCGGTGACTGTGAGAGAGAAATGTGACAGAGAGAGAGAAAGGTGACAGAAACAGAGAAAGTGACAGAAAGAGAGAAAGGTGACAGAAAGAGAGAAAGGTGACAAAGATCTGTATTGAGAGAGAGAGAGAGGGCACATAGACAGAAAAGGAAGAGTTGAAGTGAGAAGGAGAGGAGATAGAGAGATAGAGAGATAGAGGTGGTAAGTGGTAGTGGGAAAGAAATAGGGGACACACACAGAAGGGTGATAGTGGGAATGAGAGAGAAGATAGAAGGGTGATTAGGGGAACGAGAAAGACGATAGCAATTGTGCGAATGTTAGAGGAGATTAACGACAGACCAAAGGAACGCTAGCTAGCCGCTAAGCTACGGCTAGCTCGCTCAGGTAGGCCTACCCAAGCAACGCGCCGGCTAACGAGAAAGAAAGAGGATAGCGGATAGTATCTGCTTTAACAACCATTCTATGTTTTGCTGTCCCCCGCCATGATTTTTTTAGTGGGTAGGTAGGCTAGGTCTTTTTTTTGTGAGGCATAATAGCTTATTTTAAGTCTGTCCTCATGTTCTGCCACACATGCTTCTTGTGTTTAAGCTCTTAACGCTATGAGGAATGCTAAAAAAAACAACTGGCAACCCCCAAACACTGTAAAACCAACTTCGGTCGCGCTAATTTCGTGGTCGCGTCGCAGACAGCATACATAACTAATTTCCTTTAAGGATGGCCTTGACAAGACTACTAGTTTCACACGAGGAATGAGTGTGGAGGATAAAGCTCACACATGAACTAGTAACAAGGAAGCGACATAAAAGCAATACCGCCAACTCACACGCAACCCGACATCTAGCTATAGCTGCGCATATCGTAGGAATGTAACCGCAAACTACAGTTCCGTTTGATTCCGAACGTACAAACATGCACTGCCAATACAAAACGTCTTGCGCGTGTACGACCGCGCAGTTCTCACTCAACTAGCACCAACTATAGCTTTTAAAAAAACACGTTAGAAAATATATAGCCCCCTCCCGAGTACAAAAAAAGGCGTTACAAAATTCCCCCTAACCCGCTAAAGGCTAAACCCCTTCACAGCAAGTAGATACGACAATCCTGCGGCTAAAAAATTATTTTAGAACTCGGATTATTATTATTACGATTTCTCGGTGCATTCTAACGGCGAAAAATGTCCCCACGTTCGCAGACGCAACATCTCGCGCGGCGGGAAGCTCGTGCTCGGCCAATGACAACCGTAAAAATGGCCGATCGCCCCCGAACCGAAACCTAGTCGTCGCCGTGGACGCGGCGACGAACAAATCGTCCGGCGTGGCCGTTCGCCGCCGGCACCACGGGAACAGCCGACTCACCAACTCTGCGCGTCGCTGCGATGCTTCCACCAGACCCACCGCCAGGGGCGCGCCACGCTCAAACACGTCGAACTCCACGTTTTACCCTCCGTCGGTTCATCCGTTCATCCCTGAGCGTCCGGCGACCTTGCGCTGTCGGCAGAGGACCGGTACGTCGAACCGCGCACGGCGACGTGCAGACAGCTCTCGGCGAAGGTGGCGCCGGCCGCGCGCTGCCTAGGCGACGCGGATCGCGAGCAACCGGGCGAGGCGCCGTAACATGACGGCGAGCGGCCGTACAGGCAGACGCGCGGCCCGCGCGCCGCGCCGCCGACCGTCCGTCGCCGTCCAGGGGCGCAGGCTCGAGCGGCGTCGGCGCATTCGACGTCGATCGATGCGCACGGCCATCCCCTGAACCGCCGGTAGCGCGCGCGGCGTACGCGAGTGTAGCACCGGAGGCGCTTGCGGTCGGCGAGCAACGCGGCGAGCGTGCGCGTCCGTCTTGCACCCAGCGGACAGAACGCTCGCGCGGCGGCGCGCACGTCGCGCAGAACGAAACCGCATTCCGCCGAGAGATTCAAGCCACCTCGAGGGCTTCCGGGCATCGCCTGCACGGACGCGACTGCTCCTCGTTGTCGAGCACTACGCAAACCTCGGTTGGTCCCCTCCCGTCCCCGAGGCCGGCAGCTGCGAGCTAGAGCTGCCTGCAGGCACTCCGGGCGCACGTGAAGCGCGCGAAGGTCGTTGTCGATGAGGTAGACGATGTTGACGTTCGGCGTCTCGGCAGCAGCAACAGGTTCGTGGTCGGGCGGCCCGCGCGTGGTGGTTGGCGCACGGGTTCACGACGGAGAGTTCGTTGCCGGTCAGGTCGAGGAATTCGAGCTTCGAGAAGTTCGAGTAGAAGAAGATCTCGTGGAGGTGCGTGATGTAGCGATCCGCCTCCAGCTTTTCCGTGAACGCGTTGGCTAGGTTCAGATCCTGCAGGCAAGAGAGAGAGACGATGATGTAATAACGAAGAGAGAGGAGAGAGGGAGAGAGAGATGAGAGAGGGAGAGAAAGAGAGAGAGGAGAGAGGGAGAGAGAGGAAGAGAGCAGACAGACAGACACGGAGAGAGTGAGAGAGAGAGAGAAAGGGGAGAGAGAGAGACAGCAGACAGAGAGAGTGAGAGAGAGGCGAGAGAGAGAGAGAAAGAGAGAGAGAGAGACAGACAGAAGAGAGTGAAACGAAACAGAAGAGGAGAGAGAGACAGGGAGAGTCGAGAGAGCAGAGAGAGTGAGAGAGAGAAGAGAGAGAGAAGAGAGAGAGAGAGAGAGAGAGAAGAGAGAGAGAAGAGAGAGAGAGAGGGAGAGAAGAGAGAGAGAGAGAGAGTAGGGCAAGAGAGACGATGCTTGGATAAATGATAACGATATAATATAAGAGAGAGAGATGGGGGAGGGCGCGGGGCTAACACAAACGCTCGCCTCCATTACGTAGCCTAGATTACTAATCGCGACCGCAGATCGGCGCCGGCGGGCGTACCTTGAGGTGGTGGAGGTTGCTGAGCAAGGCGGGTGTCGGCAGGCCGGGAGAACCTTTGGCGTCTCTGTGAGCGCATCCAAGATACGATGTCGTTGTTTCGCCCAGTATCGAGAACCCATCAAGAGTTTCGGCCATGCGATTCAGCGTCTGCCCATGGATATGTCGGATCGCGTTGTTCGACAGGTCCAGCCACGTTAGATCAAAACATCCGTCCGACCTCCTCCGCAGACAGCGGAGCGGGGAGTTCGCCGAACCATCCCCGTTGCCCGAGTGAAGATGCCCCTGCGCAAGGAACGTAATCTGGTCGTTAATGATTAGGATAATTTATTATTGCAACAATTAATATTTTAATTAAATAATTAATTGATCGGCATTACTATATACGGTATTTCTAATCGTTTCTACGAATTTTGTATACTTTGACAGTTAGTAAGCAGCTGCTATCGTCCACTCAAAAAGCTGAATTGTTCACTTTTGTGATAAACGCCATGAAACTTCTGCAGCAATTACTCTCTAACCGATAGTAAACAAAACAATTTGTCGATCATGGATCGCAAGCTACGGGTTAAGCTCGGACTCGAGAATCTAGCGCATCGTCGCTACAAATCGCGGACACCCTTCATACTGGCCCCGCCGCTGGAAACGAGAGCCTGAAAATTTATTGCCTAAAAACAGGCCTTCAGAGTACAAAAATAAAACTTGGAACTGATTATATTAGTTGGCACTACTGTGGTATTGCTGTGCTAGAAAATTGTTGAAGAGTATGATCACGGTGACCTTCTTTAACAGTTTAACGAATTTCGGCTCCTTTGGGATACCTGTGGTGGACGATGTGCAAACATAGCGAGTTTACACTTAGTGGGGCGGATATGTGTCTGAAGGTGTGCACTTCTGAAAGCAAGCCATGGAACAATTTGCCGCTACGGGCGGTTTTTGAGTATGCCGAGTTTCAAAAAATGTGCGGAAACACGATGTCACTCTCAGACGTTTTCCGGGCACCGCCCCGGCACCGCAAAAATCAAAAATTAAAGAATGGCCGCCAGAAAAACATGTTTTTTTGCCCATAAATCAGCTGTAAGTGCCCCTCGTTAACCAATGATCTTGGTGCCTATACCTATGTTTTTTGAAGTCCAAGAAAGCAATCAACACGGCATGTCAAATATCCATAAGATATATCTTCCCCCCGCCAAAACCGTTGCAACTTCAAATTGCCCGCGGCACCAAAACAGTTTTCGCCCATGAAAATCAGCTGTAAGTGCCCCCAGTACCATGATCTTGGTCTCTAATACATCGTGTTTTTGAAGGTCAATGGGCACAACCCATACTGCACGAAGCGGGTATAGAACACATGTGATCTATCATAACATCTTTCCCCTTCCAAAAAAATTATCCAAAATGCTGCCACACACCAAACGCATCTTCTCTGGCCATAAAATGCTATACGTGGCAACGGTTAGCGGCAAGGATCCGTAGGTATCTTATAACTGTTTTTAATCTTTTTATCGTCAACGGAACCCGTCACTGGAAACATGCGGCATGAAATTATGCCTAAACATACAGTGCTTCAAATTAAACAAATAACAATATAAACATGTTTAAGGTCAAAGAACTCGGTAAGACACACCGTGAAAAATTTACTGATGAGAAAACTTAAAACGAATGCATCCTATACTTCAGTTCATAATTTCTGTTACACTTTGGACAGGTCTCCTGCGTGCACTGGCCAAAAAGCCGTCGTTCATCCAGATTCTATTGAAGACACAAGTGCAAACGCAATAGAAGGCAGCCTCGTGTATGCCGTGTAAAAGCAATCACATGGTGTGTCCTGTATTATTAAATGATCCAATGGCAGTAATCCTCATATGCCTCAGATTTGCTTGCTTATTCTCTGCTTAGGAAAGGCACCTCAAGCCACCGTGCAGTCCTGAACATTTAAGCACACTGTGTACAACCCACTCGAGATCTTCGCTATGACACACTTGCCACTGCTTTTTGTGCAAAGCACTTTTTGCATCCGACATTTTGAGACCAGTTCATGACTAGCTGGGATGGCCTGCCTGGAGGAGTGGTCCAGCATAGAGTCCATGGGGATATCATCTCGGATGCCCTGTCACTCTCCTCCTGCCCGCATAAATCTGGCGATGGAACTTCAGGTGCCTCCTATAAGTGAACTGGCCGCTCAGATGCTGCGCGCTTCTGCTAAACACCCCTTTTCGCGATGCTGTTCCAGCGGGCATGCAACGTTGCGCGGAATGTTCTTCCATCTTACGGTTTTGTTGCAGTGAAGCAACATGCTTCGCCTGGCGTTCATTTCACATGGCTGGAGCTGCTGCATGTTCGCAGCTAACACAGAGAACAACACTAATCGTCTCTATTCTGCTCCAGCGTCGTCTGGGGGGATACGTCCTGGCTTGGAGCAATAGAGAGATAGCACCTGAGCAAATATCGGTTTGAGATGAGGCATACTGGCACGCGCGAACACCGCAAGCTGTTCTCCTTTCCAATGTGCCAGTGGAACGGCAGAAACAGTATCACACTCGCGAATATTGCGCTGGAAGAATACGAAAGACGCGCCATGATGCTGTCGTGCTAATTCAGTTGGCCAATTAGGTGGGCACTGAATGGTAAGCATAGTTTAGCACCTTCCATGACCAAATGGCTATCATATTCCCAGGTCCCTGTAACACACTTGAGCTCTGCAATTGCGGTAAACCACCACATCAGGTATCATGGCATCGTATTCGCCATCACTGGTACAACCCATGATGGAATGAATGGGCAAGGCATGAAAACAGGAGCCGGTGTGTCTGCTTCTTTTGTGAGCTGCAGAACAGAATCTGACAGGTAAGGCTATGGGAGATGATACAGGGCATGTCTGGCCATGTGTTTGGAGATCACTAGCTTCTGTGGAGGAGGTTGAAAGGCCCGTCTTGTATGGCATTGGCTAGAAGTTGGCAAACAGGCTGTCTTTGTTTTATTGCATCACGGCGAAGGAAGTTCTTGCAGTTAACAGAATCTTGGTGTTATTGTCCAGCCTGAGATCTCTACCCGACTCTACGGTTCTGTCGTGCCTTTGTGGCCTTTAGGGCTGTCCTCCCTGTAGACATCCCGCCAGAGCAACATCTACGTAAACAACGTCTTGTAAGCATGTGTTCTATAGTAGGCAAGAACACCGCCGCCCTATTGCTGAATAGTTGTGGAGACTCTTCTGACTTTCGAAGACGACAGGATCGAGAGTGGATCGCAATATATATAGATGGAGCCGTTGTGGTCCAGATGCTGCAACCCAAAGCCGTTAGCCGGGACCTTTTGACACGAGTACTTCAACTCCATACTTGCAGGCCTTTACAATCGCTTAGGCAACCTGGAAGACAGCGGGCAGATATGAGTGCTGCTTGCGCGCCGTGTACTCACGAGGAAGCTGATTCCACATGCTGATTCATCGGTGCACTCCATTCTAGCGCACGGATGGCCCATGCGACGAATAAAGATCCGCAGTAACAATACTGATGTTGTTGGTGCTGGCGCGTTTGCGCAATTGCTCGCAGTTCTCTCCTCCGCCAACCCCCGTTAGATTGAGCTGTGGACTTCATATGGTTTTCTTCCGAGGCAAGTCCCAGTAACCTTCCAGCGCATACCATACGCTACATCCTGGTCCGAGAAAGAAAGCGCGCGTGTGTTACGATGTTTCATGCATGTAATATGGTCGTGAATACGGTTTCATATTTCGGCTGGAAGAGGAAAGAAGACGGCTATGGGACCGTATGGACCGTGTTCCCAGAGCTCACCCCCTGTTCCGGTTCAAAGGGCACTGCTTCGAACTGCCCAGATAACTGTCCTGATGATACCAGCAATCGGAATGTCCATTGAGGCGATGTTGGTGGTTACTCATATATGGACGCACAGAGCAGCCTCAGTAAAGTCAATCGAAGTCAGCGCAAGATCTTTTTCTCAACGAAAGGTGCGATCTCCTGCGAGCAACATGCCCTTCCACTCAAGGCATGCCTTAGTACAACATGGTCAGGAAGGCTGTCTTACGCATCTCGCCAAGGTGGTTATGTACTGGGGCAAGAAGCCCTGTTAAAGAAGCCCAACGTTTACCGGTGAGTGCGCTCCAAGATGAGGAATGCGACTAAGCTTTGAACAGTGGCTCGGCTGGTGCCTTACTGAGCGACCACTCTCCGCAAGCCAAGGACTCCCTGGCTATGAACTCATTCGATGTGGACTGCAAAGCTGGTTGTTGAGACGCCGCGTCCCTTGCAACAATGCCAGACACAGGCTAATTCTTACTTGCACTGGTTTGCCAACCTGTAGAGCGCAACTGCTACTAGCTATTGGTATGCACCCTAAGAGTAGCAAGTAGACAAGGTTTCTTATTGAACTGTGTTCAATTGCGCAAAAGAGCCATCCGTTAATTGTTTAACAGTTTTGACGCAGCTATCCTTCACAGCCAAGTGTATATACTATTGACCCGCCACGTAGAGCAAGCCCGCGATTAAACCTCAGCAAGGCGAAAAGAAAATAATGTATGCAGGGAAGCTATATAATCGAATTTGTGGTTCAAAGCACTCTAGGTACTTAGCGCTGGAAAGCGGCTAAAATGCAATGTGAGGATGAAGCAATGTAATAGACTTTAGGCCCAATTCAGGATTGTATGGATTGTATTCAGGAATGTACTTCGGAAACGTGTGAAAAGCGTTTTTTCTACTCATTAAACATGCATAAAAAATAATAATTTGAGCGTCAGTAAGTGCTAATCTTTAGTGGGCCATGTATCTATGCGTTTGACATTTGCGCACGCACAGTACC